AAACCCCGAAACAGGGAAAATGGTCATCCTTTTTTAGTAAGGGAATTCTAGTATTTTGGAAAATGTGGTTAATCTCTCTTAACACCAGATGTACAAACGGCACACCTGTAACAAAGAAACTGGGACACTGTGAGAAAAATCCAGACAAGTAATTCTGCTGAGAAAGGGACCCCACAGCACCTTTCACACCACTGCTCTGCTGGCCTTTGGGCAGTTGTGCTAGAGATACAACAGCCAAGTTTTAGCTTTTCTTATTTTATTGCTTTTGGTTTTTTAAGAATCAGCGGCAGCACAGCACAGTTTTATGAATAGGAACCCTGAACCACTGGGATTATGAACCATAAGTATTTTACATGCATTGTTTTGTAACGATGAGCACATACAATCCTGTTTAACAACGGATATAGTGGCACAGAGCCTCACACGGAAGACAAATGCAAGTACAAACAGAAAATCTGATACAACCCAAGACATCCTATATTGCCCCAGAAGACAGGCCAGCACAGAGCTGCAATGTGTAACGTGCAAATGCTTAAATCAATAGTGTGAGCAGCAGCCACCGCTCGCTGCAATCCTTACAGGAACAGCCAAAAGGAACATAAGAAAAGGGGAGGGTGAAGAGACATTCACCACTTATTTCACTGGCGCCAGCCAACATCTTTTCTGTAACTAATTCGCTTTAACTCTGCACAGGGCAGTGTCACGTAAAGCATTTCTGAAGGAAGATTTTCTTTCTTGCCTTTCAAGATCATGCATCGAAGCCTAGTAAACCCTGTGCTGCAGAACATACTTAAAGCTCAGCAGCACTAACCAATAGCCACTGAAACTGAACTCTGGAGGAGGAGCTCTCTGCATGCAGAGGCTGGGTTTCTATTTTCTGGCACAGATTATACCAGCTTACAGAAAGGCAGTATTTTATAAATCTTTACATATGTAGCCAGAAGCTTTTGTCAGTGAGATGCAATTATAACTTAAAAACAATTTCTATGACAGAAAAGAGATGAGAGCACTAATGAAGGTGGCTTTCTGACAAATCAAGTTTTTCCTAACTGTTTTTATTCATTCATTTGATCTCAGTACTGGAATTTTGCAACAGGAATTGGCTCAGTGTCTTTCAAAACATAAAGGGCCTAATCCCTTCCCATTAGAGAACAGGAAGTCAGAAGCCTATCTTAGCACTGATTAAAAAAAAAGAATCTGGATTGTTATTTTAACTTCTTTGTTGCACATAAGCTAGAGATATTTTTTTTTCCACTACCATTTCAGCATGCTGGCTCGATTAAAAGCTGATGTCTCCCCTAAGTGGCACCCATTTAGTACAAGAGACCCTTTGCACCAATTGCTCTCTGCAGAGCAGCAATTACACTACAGTTTCTGCCCATCACTCTGTAACTCAGAACACATGCTGCACAAATCCTTATTTACATGCCACTGTGCTGTTCTGCTTTGGACAGTCTAACAATGACATTTCTAGTGTAAAGACTTTTTATATCTGCCCTAGGTGCATTCAAACAAAACTGGTTCAAGCGGGAACAGGCAGTATTTTGTATTTTGACTTCCGTCCATGCACACTTGAAAGCTGAACGCTGCTATTGCCAATAGGGTTGTATGTGTGCCTGCTGGATCCCACCAGCCCAAGCTCCCCCTTCTCCCCCCTGCCTTCCCTAACATGCTCACTACACAGGTGTGCACATGGGTGCATTTCTACTCCTGTGTGCAGTGTTCAAGCCCCAAGCGCTCCCATCTGCTCCTCCAAAAGCAGTGGCACCGCTTGATGTCCAAGCACAGTGCTGCAGCCTCTCTCAAGCTCTTCACTACATGCCAGACTCAAACTGGCAACTCTCACTTAACTTTGAGAATTGCACAGGCTCCCTCAGAGAAGCAGACAAATAAGGGCTAAAGCCACGGGCAGCTGAAATCTTGACTTCTGGGCCTCACCCATTTTAGTGTTCTTTTCCTCAGCACAGAACCAGCGTGACCTCTCTGGGGCTCCCAAACCAGTTACTGAATCAGTCCAAATCAGAATGGAACTGGATGAACTTCAAGCATAGCTGCAGGTAAAATAAGATGAACATGCCCCCAAAGTTCTTAACATTAACTATTTAAGTACATGTCTGATTTTTTTACTTTCCCCAGTATTAAAAAAATGGCTGGTAGTATTCAGCACTTGAAAATTAATGAGTTTTAAATACGAACATAGTACACCCCCAGTTTTGAAATACTCTGCTCTATTTTCTCTCATCTTTCCCCATCTGGTATGTTTTAGTAATAATTTAACAAATATTTTTCTTCAAGGCTGTCAGAAAAATCTCATAGCATTTTGGAAACGCTAAACATTATCCTGTGAAGTAAATTAGGACACAAAGAAGTAGCATGACATACATGTGATCACACATTGTCAGTGGCAAAGACAGTAACAGAAATCCCTGCTTTGGAGTCTTCGAGAAAGGAAATTGGTAATATATCGCAAATACTGAAGCTGAAACCGACATCAAGTTACATTTGAAGGACAATCTGCAAAAGTTAAAAAAAATGCCAAGTCTCAATATAGGAAAGACTTCTTATTCCAATGATTTATTTTTGTTAAGATTTATTTATGAAAACTCAAACCCAGCTAGCTGTCTTTGACATTAAGCAAAACCTTAAGTCTCCACAGCTCCTTAGTCCTTCTGAGCTTTCTCCTCTCAGAGGATGAATCTACCATCAATGCCTGGAGACTGCAGCCAGAGGTCTATGTCCACTTCCACACTTTACAATGGGAACCACTGGAAAGAACTGTTAAGTACAGGTCTCTTTCCTAGATACTTTAGTCAGAGTAACTCACCAATAATTTTTGCTCATTATTGAGCTCAGATGAACTAATAAAGTAACACACAGAATACTTCATATCCCATTATCAATTTCCCAGTTCAATTTGTCAGAATCTACCCCAGATATCAGGAAAAACCATTAGCCAGCACCTTAGCCAAGACAAGACAGCAAACCCCACCCGAGATACGCAGCTGCTGTTCTAGAGATACAACATTAGTAGAAAGAAAAAAGACAATAAAAAGCATCCAAAAAAATCTAACAAACATGCACCTTTTTCTTCATACCATTGGCATGAGATTTTTTTGGAAGTTAAGATATTATAAGCCTTT